GAATTCTTTCATTCTCTAGAATTCTAATATTCTAAATAAGAATACTAAATTCTTTTTGGAACAAAGTGGGATTAAACTCCCTTATGTGAGATATATGAGATATAAATCTCACTTCACAGTGCCTCATTTAACAGATAGGCAGTAAACAGTTATTGAATAAATGAGTGAGTTCATTTAATAAATAGTCCTTGTTATAATCATAGTCCTACTACAAGTCTCATATATGGTAAAAGAGCAATACATATTTGTTGAATGAATGAATGAGTGAATGAATGAGTAAATGAGTGAGGTCATTTAATGAAGTCACTTTTAAAATAGAACTTGGGGATGGATTTTTTTCTTTTCTACCTGACCCAGAGATGGTTTTAATTCACTTTTATGTTACCATTTTCTAGTTGCTTATGCTAATAAGAATTGGTTTTGTTTGGGGGAGAATTTAAAACAAGGGTATGTGTTAAATCCTGACAAATAAGTTAAAATCATAAAGTGTAATACAAATAAAATATTTTCAGCTTATTCCTCTATATCAGCTCTGCTTTGTTTTTCAGAGGGATCATATGAAAATTGCCCAGCAGTTCTTTCAGTTGGTGGGAGGATCGGCTAGTGAATGTGGTATGTCTGAAGTCTGTACTTATGAGCATGATTCATAACTGAAGCTGGTCGTATCCTGACTAGCGAAGTTTGATTCTCTGTCCAGGGATACATCTGTCCCATTGTAAGGAGGGAAATCAGACACAGGAGAGAAGATTGGAGTTAGCTCTTCTCAACATCTCAGCTGAAATGGGATGAGAGAACATAGAAATAGAGGAGAATAAATGTATTCTTCATTCATGCAAGTTTTAAAACTTGATTTTTTTATTTGCAACATAACTTTTATTGATTTTTCAAGAGCTCTTTATGTATTAAACTTTGGCCATGCTGTAGGTATTTTTCCCAGTGAGTCATTTGATGTTTAACTTTGCCTATCCTATTTTTTCCTAGATAAAAATATTTAAATTGTAATTAAATTTATCTTTTCCATGATGATTTCTTACATGGGTATCAAGCTTCAACAGTGCTTTCTTACCCCTGCAGTTATATAATATTTACCTATATTTCCCACAAGTAGTTTTGTGGCTTTGTTTCTGTTATTAAAGTATTGATTGCATCAGCCAAGATTCAGTGTGAGGTTGGAGGAGGAGCTATAAAATGGGCTGATAGACCTGACTGGAGTGGCTCAGTGGGTTGGGTGTCATCCCACAAACTGAAAGGTCACTGGTTTGATTCCCAGTTGCAGGTTGGGGAGTTTGACAGGTAACCAATCAATGTATCTCTTTCATATCGATGTTTCTTCCCCCTCCTTCTCCCTCCCTTCCCCCATCCTTCTCCCTCCCTTCCTCCCCTTCAAAAAAAAATATGTAAAATGTTAAAAAAAAAAGAAAAATAAAAACAAAATAAAATAAAATAAATAAAAAAGGCTAACAGCCAGTATGAACCCATCAGGCTGTCTGAACCAGTTGTCTCTGGCTAGCATGCATTCTAATGGCATGTTCATGCTAACATGGTTGTTAAATATTTGTATCACCCCTGGATTTTTAAAAAAAATATTTTACCAAAACTATTTATTGAATAATATTTCCTTTCCCCTTTTCATTCATTCATACAACAAAATTTATTCAGATGTTGAGGATATAGCAGTAAACAAAACTAAGAAATCCCCTTCCAATGTGGAATGTACAGTCTAGTGGGACAGACTATAAACATAAAAAACGAACAAATTGTATAGTATATGTGACTGTGATGAGTTGCTATGGGGGAAAAAATGAGCAGAAAGAGAATAAGGAGGATTGGGAGTGTCAGTGGCCAGCACGAGGCTTATACTAATCACTTGCCACCTCAGACAGGAACGTATCGGGCAAAAAGCGGGTCAGGATGAGGATCAGATGGCCCCACGGCAGGTTATTTCTCCTTTTGAGATTGAAGGTGCTGGTTGTCTTAGACAGACAATGACGGAGACTGAGCCACACTAGTTGCCTGTGCAGACAGTGGAGCTGGGCAGAAGTCAAAGCCCCGGCAAGATCCGGGAAGTGCTGTAGCCTGCAGGGTATGTGTTTGTTTTGGACTCAGTTAACAAAGAGAGATTACTGGTAACTCAAGTACTATGATCTCCATTGTGCTGAAGTTTTGTTTGCTGAACAGAATCTATAATTTCAGAATCTAGAAAGCTGTCTTGAAATATATTCCTGTGTCTAAATTATAAAATAACTGAAATTTCATCTAAAGACATCTTTTGGTTTCATGAATACACATGGTCTCCTTCCCATTTCATTTCAGATACAATACCAGGAAGACAGTGCATGGCTTCCTGTTTCTTTCTCCTTAAGCAATTTGATGATGTCTTGATTTACCTCAACTCATTTAAGGTCAGTATAGAATCTTCTAGATGACTTTGTATACAAAACCTTTATAATATGTCAAAGGTAACATACTCTTAGAGATGGCCCTTTTACTATGGCATTAGTGACATCAGATAATTCCTTAGGCTTATTTTTGTGTTTATCTGTTATAACTGATGTTTTTATATTTTATATGTTAATGCTCAATGTGACCTGTTCTTGGAATGTTTTTCAGAGTTACTTCTTTAATGATGACACCTTTAACTTTAATTATGCCCAAGCCAAAGCTGCAACAGGCAATACCAGGGAGGGTGAAGAGGTGAGTACATGCTGTGGAAGGCATTTGAATGATTCTGTCTAAAAACATTGTCGTCTTTTTCTCACTAGAATAAAATATTCAAGGGTAAAAGATTATTAAAAGTTTCTTTGTTCTTAGGTTACATTAAAAAGTACAATGTGAATAGACATGAATTTTATAACCACCTTAATGTTTTCCTTTTTTGATAAACTTATAAAAGTATAACATACATGGAGAAAAGTATACAAATCAAAGTATATAGCTTGGTGGATTTTTTTTAAGGTGAACAGACCCAAATAATCTGAATCCAAATCATGAAACAGAATATTATCATAATCCGAGAAACCTCCTCAACCCCTTTTTGAGTCCATCTCTTTCCTCCCAGGCTAACCATGATCTTGACTTCTAACTTCATAGAATTGATTCATCTAAATTACTCAAAATAATTCAGTTGAATTATTCAATTGAATTTTGTTATTCAACAAATTATTCAACTAATTTCCATTAGGGTTTCTTTTGTTTTGACTGAGTTATTTTAAAATGCATTTCAAACATGATTTTCAAACATGTATTATCCTTTTAAGCATATTTTATTTTGATTTCTAACTTAATTGTGTTCTGGTCATACAATGTTGTCTATATAACATCAACCCTTTAAAATTGCCCAGTAACATGGTCATGTATTCTTGAAAATGATATGTATTGTACAGTTGTTAATCATCTTGTTTAAATCTTCTATATCTTTACCAACCTTTTGTCAGCTTGTGAAATCAATAACTGAGAAGAGTGTGTTAAAGTCACCACAATTTTTTCCTATACTTTCTTAGCAGCCTGTGTAGAATTTGGTCATCTATAAGGCTATGTCAGTCATTAAAGTAAGATTATCTGATATGAATGTTTTCATTGCAAAACCATCTTCATGTTTATTCCCTTTCTTTCTTCTTGCAGGTTTTTCTTTTAATCCAAAATGAGAAGTTGAAAAATGATTATGTTTACCTCAGTTGGTTAGCTCGGTGCTGTGAGTCTCTCTCACTTTTTCTTTTACTATAAATAATTTTTTATTTTTCAATTATAGTCAACATATAATATTATATTAATTTAATATACTAATGTACATAGGTATTCAACCCAGTGATGAGAAACTGGATAACTTACCAAGTTACCCTGATAAACCTAGTCCCCACCTGGTGCCACACACAGTTACTGCAATATTGTCGACTATATTCCCTGTGCTGCACTTGACACCCACCCCGTGATCGTTTTGTGAACCTTCTTTTAAGTGTTACGGAGTAATCCTTTTTTCATCTCTGCTGCATAATATTCTGGGTGGAAATCATACTAAGCACCTCCTAATTTTGTTTTGTATTTCGCTCTATGGAATAAGTGAACACTGAAATCGTGTTATTAATATTAGACAACCAGGGTGGCCATGTACATATCTAAGTTTACCCTGTAGGTAGTTCTACCATATAGCATTGACGTAGCACGCACAGTCCTGAAAGATGCCAGGTTCTTCCCGTAAAGTTTCCGCAGTCTCGGTTTACTGTGTGTGTGTGTGTGTGTGTGTGTGTGTAAGTAATGATATTGTTATGCTAAGTTTACCTTTTTTACTATGATGCAGACCTTAAAAAGGGACAATGTCAAAAACCATAATTTAAAAAATATTATTTAGCTTATAGTCTCTGTCTGTCTGTCTGTCTCTCTCTCTTTTCACTAACTCTTCTTGCTCCTTGGGTTTTAAAATGTTCCCTGAGTTTTAAGTTGCAGGAACATTTTAGCAATTAGATACCGTAAATGTGGATGAAAGTATATGAGTAGAACTGAGTGAATGATAGGGGTCCTCTTTTAAGCAGATGACCTAAGTGGGAACTACTGGAAATCAACCCAATCTAAAAAGACATATAACTATCTGAATCTTAACTTAAATAAAGATTTTAAGTATGGTAGAATTCAGACGGTGAACCAGCTTAATGCCAACATTGCAAGCTTTCTATGCGAGAGCTATTTACCATTACTTTGTATATTTGAAAGCTTGAACCAAGTCCATAGAATAGCAACATGCAGAAGCCTATTTCTTGTACATTTAAAAAGCATAAATGTTCACCCTGGCTGATGTGGCTCAGTGGATTGAGTTCCAGCCTGTGAACTGGAGGGTTACAGGTTCAATTCCCCGTCAGGGCACATGCCTGGGTTGCAGGCCAGGTCCCCAGCTGGGATTGTGTAGGAGGCAGCCAATAGGTGTTTCTCTCACATGTTTCTCTCCCTCTCTTTCTCCTTCCCTTCCCCTCTCTCTAAAAATATATAAACAACATCTTCTTAAAAAACAGCATAAATCTTTGTTCCTTTTTGTAGATATAATGAATAAGAAACCAAGACTAGCCTGGGAACTTTATCTCAAGATGGAAACCTCTGCAGAGTCCTTTAGCCTCCTACAGCTCATTGCCAATGACTGCTACAAGGTGAGTCTGAATGAGGACAAAGGGAAACTGACGATCGGTATCGCCCTGTTGGCCAAGAATTAGGGAAAAGTGTCCTGGAGACTAATGGCTGTGGCGAGAGGGTTTGCATACTGGTCTCAGAAATGTCACCTCTACTATCAGTGAATTGAACCCAGTGTTTCAGGGTTTTTTAATGTGTATATGAAATAGTGATTTAGAGAGGAGGTTTTAGATTTCTAAAGGCTGTGAATCTTTACATAGCACCCAGATGCAGATATTCATCTGGTAGTTGGAAACTTGGTTTTGAAGCTCAAGAAATGTCCTCTGACATCTAGCGACATAGACTTGGAGAAATCATCCACTTCTCAGTAGTAGTTGAACCCCCGAAAAGTAGTGAGATTGTCCAGGTTAAAAAAAGTAGATGGTTGCAAATCAAACCTTGGGGAATACTAACATGAAAATAGTAGACAGGAAAGACAAAGGAACCAGAAAAAAAAAAAAAAAGAATGAAAAAGCAGTCATTTTGTAAAGGTCTGACACTGTGTGCGCCTGGGTAGGGAGTTGGAAAGGTGTGAGGGAGCTTTTTAAAATTAAAAGTTTTTTAAAAACTAGCCTCAAATTCCAGAAATTCCTATTTTGGGATTATTTCTTCCTATCCAAAAGACAGGAAAATGGCAGGTAAAGGTAAAGAAAGTCTCGTGTTAATCAATAAAATCTCATTGCAAAGGGAATCATTACAAAAATAAAGTGAGTTACCATCAGTGGAAAAGGTTTTAAAACAGGAAACTTGAAATTGTTTACCATGACTTGGTGGATGGTATTGATGTTAAGTGAGTTATGGGAGACAGAGGGAAAGAAAACATCAAAAAACAGTAATTTAGTTCAGTTTTAGATGTAATACATGTGAAGCGTGTTTGAGGCTCCCAGGCACAGATATCTCGTGTGGGGAATTATCAGGATGAGCCTGGCCTTCAGGTGAGAGGTCAAGATGAGAGATCTAGTTCTAGAAACTAGCAGCAGGTATGGCGGTGGTGATAGCAGCCCCAGGAGCAGCAGAAAAGGCCGGGGGGGGGGGGGGGGAGGTGCGGTGGGGGCAGGGTATGGCAGAGAAAGATTAACCAGGGAGTGGGGTGAGGAACCATGTGCTCGTGGGACAGAAAGAGAAAGAAGAGTCAGTGAAGGAGACAGGATGAAGACGAACAGAAAGGAAAGGAAAAAACCAGGAGAGAGGAAAAGTGCTTTGCGTTACTTATTTTTTCTGATGCTGTTTTATCAAAAGCCAAGAAGGAGAATGTCAAGTCTGCAAGTAGCTGGAGTTGCATGAGGCCGGAGAAAAGAATAGCAGGTAGAGAAGAGAATCGGATTAGAAAGTGGATGCAGTGAGTGCATTGTCGACCACAGTCTTTAAAACTGATGCAGAGGATAAGGAGGGACACGCGGTGCTAACTTAAAAGCGGAAAGAGCATTAGGTACTCTGGGGGAGGGATTAGTTTTTGCAGGTGGAGGGAGAATTCTTTTTTCTTTTAGAATAGGGAGTAAGTATACTTTTAGGTAGAAGAGCCATTGAATAGGGAGTTAAGAATTTAAGAGAGTGGGAGCATTATTTTTAACTTAAAAATGTTTTTTAAAATTTATTTTAGAGAGAGAAAGGGAGAGAAAGAGAGAAACATCGATGTGTTGCTCCACTAATGTATATGTTCATTGGTTGACTCTTGCATGTGCCTTGACTGGGGGTTAAACCCACAGCCTTGGTGTATGGGGACAACCAACTGAGCTACCCTGCCAGGGCCAAGAGCGGGGGCATTTTTTGATGGAATAAGGCCCTAGTGAAGATGAAAGGGGGATGGGGTTAAGATCACAGGAAGATAATGACTTTGAAAAACAACTTGGGCCCTCACTGGCATGGCTTAGTGGGTTGGGTGTCCCCCTGCCAACCAAAAGGTTGATAGTTTAATTCCTAGTCAGGGCACATGCCTGGGTTGCAGGCCAGGTGCCTCTCTGGGGGCAGCTGATCAATGTTTCTCTCCCTCCCTTCCTCCCTCCCGTCTCCTCTCTCTGAAAATAAATAAAATCTCTATTTATTTATTTTTTTAGATTTAATCTATTTTTTTCCCATTACTGGTCAGTGCCCCTTATACCCCTTTCTACCCAGCAACCACTGCACTGTTTAAAATCTTTTAAAAAAAGGAAAAAAAAAACAATTTGGCATTTCCTCGTGTCTCGGTGGTCCCACGATGACCTGTCAGTTCTGTGATTCACTGGAAGGACTCCTATGACTCAACATAAAGTTATGCTTGTAGCAAAGACGGATTACAATTCAGGAAGAAGACGTGTATAGGGAAGGACTAGGAAGTTCAAGCACAGGCTTTCTTGCCCTCCCTCTGCGCAGGCGCAGGGCCATGCCTTTCTCCAGCTGCAGGCTGCAGGGGCACGCGTGAGGTGCGCTTGTCCGTGGGAAACAAAGGCAAATGCGAAAGAAAAGGCAGAATGAGTCCTAATGTATCAATAATTGCATTAAATGTAAATGGTCTAAATACAGATTCCACAGAGTAGATTAAAAAAAAAATGACCCAACTCTCTACACAAAACTTACTTCAAAGATCATGATATAAGTGGGTTGAAAATTAAAGGATGGAAAAAAATATACCACAATATAGTTAGGCAGTTGTTTTTTTAACCCCAGGCAATGAAAACATTATTCAGTAAGTACCTGTTCACAAACGCTTGCCCTCTCAGGCCATTTTGGGTCTGTGTGACAGGCCTGCTAGACCCTCCTCCGAGACCTCAGTTGTGGAAGTAAAAAACTTCCAGACCCTTTTGGTGTATATGTGGCGTCATCATCCTTGACATCCCAACCAAACTCTGGGTGGCGGCCCCTCCTGCTTTTGCAGGGTTATCGGATAGGAACAAACTAGGGGTACATGCAGTCGCTTGGAAATACAAGGACGTTATGCTGGATGAAAAAAAGCCAATCTCAAAGGGTCCCACACTGCTGTTTTATATATATAAAATATTCTTGAACGTTATAGAAATATAGAACAAATTAGTGATCGCCAGGGGTGAGGATGGAAAGCAGGGAGGGGAGTGCATGTGACCACAAGGGGTAGCACCAGGGGGATCTTCATGGTGATAGAACAGTTGTATATATGAATCTACACATTTGTTAAAATGACGGAACTATACATACATTGTAGCAATGTGCATCTCCTGGTTTTGATATTGTGAGATTGTACCATTCTTGTGTAAGCTATAAGGGGATGGGGGATTGGGTGAAAGGTACATGAGATCTCCTTGTACTATCTTTGTAACTTCCTGTGAATCTATAATTCAGTTAAAAGGTTTATATATATATTTATTATATATATATATTATTTATTTACTTCTTACAGGGAGGGGAAGGGAGGGAGAAGGAGAGGGAGAGAAAGATCAACGTGTAAGATACATCAGTTGTTTGCCTCTTACATTCCCCCAGCTGGGGACCTGGCCTGCAACCCAGGCAGGTGCCCGGACTGGAAATCAAACCAGTGACCTTTTGGTTCACAGGCCGGCACTCCATCCACTGAGCCACACCAGCCAGGGCCAAAGTTAAAAGTTTTTGAAAAGTAAATGAACTAGAGCTATATCCAGCAACTTGGGTGAATTTTATAAACAAATATAGGACACAAAAGAATATTTACACTATTATTTCATACAGATAAAAATTTGAGAGTCAAAACACAATTAAATTGTCTAAAGCTATACACATAGGTGATTATGAAGCAAGTCAAAGAATGGATGACCATTCAAGCTGGAATAGTAGATGTTTCTGGAGGGAAGTAGAGGGTTGTGGTCTGGAAGCCACACAGAAAGCTGCTGTTCTGCTGCGAATGTTTCCTTTTGAACTGGGGTAGTGGTTACACTTGTATTCCCCTTATGATCAGACATTAAACTGTACATTTACGTCGAATACACCATTCTCTCTGAGTATTATTTCACACCCCAAAAAATGCTGCAGAGAACATCGGAAAAAGGATTAACCTCAAAAAGGAATATGAGCAGCTCCTCTTGTGAGATAACCCAAAAAAGAGGGAAAGGTGAATGAAGGTATAATTTGAACCAAAGGGAGGAAGGTTGTGTTTTCCCTATGGAATAGAGAAAAAGGCTTTGCTAATAATGCAATCAAGATCTCAAGGAAATTCGTGAATGCTTATGACAGTGGTTTACAGGAATGGAGAAGTAACTAAACCGCAGGGAGTGGGGGTTGCTCGGCAGTTTGAAGCCTTCAGTGAAATTGGTAACACTGTACGTCTGATTGCCAGTCAGGAAACCTCATCTGAGCACGATGTAATGGTGTTCGACATGCTCGACAAGGCCAAGGAAATCTGTGGTATTACCTGTCAAAATAAATGAAATGTTTTAAAGATTTGGTGTTTTAAAGTAGTGTTCAGCATACATCTAGGCATAGGAGAGGTTAGACAAGGTCAGGGAAAGATCATTCCCTTGGACTGAATATGATCAAATCAGCATAAAGTAGATGACTGACCCTCTACAGACCGTACTGAGACGAAGAAAAATACTCAGTTCAAATCACGGTAGTCAGAGTTTATACTCAAGGTTAGGGTGTAATTAAAAGAAAGGACATCCATATGAATTGATTATAGGATAACTTCACTATATTTAGAAAAGATGTTACATTGTTGAAAATAGAATGGAGGTAAGCTGACATAAATTGAACCCAAGCGCCCAAACTGTGATTTTCCTTTTTCTTGTTTTAATAAGAAGTCTACCTAATGTGCTGACTGAAAATGTTGTCATTACCCATGTACTCATTTTACGCGGTTCTGTTTCATGGTGTCTTTATGTTTAGTTTCATCTGTGTGATCTGGTGACTATAAGCATTACCACAACTCTTTGTTTTGTCCAGATGGGCCAGTTTTACTACTCGGCCAAAGCCTTTGATGTCCTGGAGAGGCTGGACCCTAACCCTGAGTACTGGGAAGGCAAGAGGGGCGCCTGTGTGGGCATCTTCCAGATGATCCTAGCTGGGAGAGAACCCAAGTAAGCACACGGGCGAGGCAGGCCGCCTCTGCTCATTGGCTGGGCCGGGAGGAAAAAGAATGGTTTCATGGATGACGTCCTCTTCTGAAAACTCCAAATTATAATGATGTTTTAGAATGATGACTAAAATGTTCAGATGTTATATATTTCTATTTGACCTTTTTCCTCCAGAAATTTTTTATTTTACAGAATCAGATCATTCTAAATCCTCTATACTGGGAGCATAGAGTATACTAAAGCTCTCAAATATGATAGCTCTAAATGAATTGCCATTTCATTTAAACAAAGTTTGTTTGTTTCTCAGTTTCATCTACTCTTTTCTTTGTCTATTGACCTTTTCTTGTGTCTTTTAGTTTAGGCCTCAAAGAATTAGGAATAGAGTAAATGTGGTTGATAATTTTCATTACTGAGACATTAGCTTATATAAAATGAGGTGGCTTGTAGCTCCATTGTAAAAAAAATTGAAATGTTTAAAACCAAATTCAGTGTTCTAAAAATAACTTCACAGAATGTATTTGTTATCACGGATGTATGGATAGGGGATGTGATTATTTTATAAGCAAATAAACTCTCCAAAATTACCTCCTGCCTTGTATCTACTTCTAGTCCTAAATAAAAGTTTAAAAGAATTTGGTTAAATAAAAAAGGTTGCTTGAGGGGAAAAAAGTTGGAAATATGAGAGAACTCTTAGGGAGAAGGATCAATACACAGTTACCTGTAGATTTGATAAGGTAATAGGGAAGTTTTAGTATGCATTTCTTGAAACATAAATGTTAATTGTAATTAAATTTAAATTGCTTAAAACATAAATACTGGGCATTTGCCAAATCTTGGTCCTTAACTTTCCTCTTTTCCATGTTTATTAATATATTATTTTTCTTGAAGAAACATCCATTCCTCTCGCTTTGTAAAATTTCACAAATATGGTAGTGTTATCCAGTTATTTTTCCTTAAACCAAGAAAAATCTGGGACTCAGACAAGCTGAAAGACTTGTTAGTTCAGAGCTGGAATTTGAACCCAAGTCTCAACCCAGCTTGTTGACATACCCTCTTTGTACCCTGTCATGCAGAATAAGCACAGAAATGGAAATATTTATGTCTCTTAAGACAGAGGATAAAGAGCATGTGCGCAGGTAGAGCAAGTGCACAGGGAAAACTTGGGTTGCGAGAAGGGTATTATGGAGTTTCCATTTTACTCTGCCACCGCAGGATAGAAAGCTGGGATGTTTGGAAGTGGTGTATGCACGCACAGGAAGAGTCTGTTACCAGAAATGCCCTCCTAGGAGTATATGGAGAACAGTTAGGAGTTTGTTTTACCTGCTAATTTTCATTCTCTATTGAAACACTGGGTCCTTGCAAATCTTTCCCTCAGAGAGACTCTTCGAGAAGTGCTCCATCTCCTGAGAAGCACAGGCAACACCCAGGTGGAATACATCATCCGGATCATGAAGAAATGGGCCAAAGAGAACAGGGTGCCCGTCTGAAACCGCTGCGGAGGACTGGGGGCCAGTCACTGCTTCGCCATGAAACTGGACATCGTTTTGTCCCTCCAGCTCGATGTGAGAGGCAGGCCTCTATTTTATTGATGTTTCCTTTCCTTGATCCTCAAGCCACAGCCCCCTGACTGCTGGCGCCTTGCCTCCTGGCGGAGCTGCGCCGTCGCCCCTGCCGTGGGCTCCGTGGGGTCCGACCAGCCACGGGACTCCGGACTTCCCCGGTGCCTTTCTTCCAGAAAGACTCAGGACTGTGACATTTTTTACTGACTTCAGGGAGGTCGGCATAACTTTTCTTTATATTAACATTCCACGGCATTTTCTCCAAGCTGCAGTAAAAATGCCATGAACGCGCAGGAGTCCCCATCGTTCTGGCAACCTGTCGTCAGCCCTCTCTGCACGCTGCCCTGGGCACGGAGGGATGCCATAGGCAGTCCTGTGATGTGCCTCTGAGTCTCGGGAGGACGGAAGTTATGCATAGCTAGATGATGCTCGGGATGGCGGAAAGGGCCTCCATCAAGTCACTCACAGGTAGTAGGCTTAGGGGTTAATCCTTCAGTCAATGAATTCTCAACCATTAGAACACGTCACAGTGGAGTAACATGAGTACTGCAGTTTTTTAAAAAGTGAGAACTAGGAAAAAAAATCTGTGTGGTACATTTAAGATTTTTTAGGAAGCAAAGTATACAAATCTCATTTGTGATTTCTCCATTATATTTTAGGTAACAAAACAGGTTAGGTTTTTTTCTTCATGTGTCTTCCTGAGTAAATACCGATTTTGAAAGTAGGGCCACAAAGGGTCTATGCAGGCATTAGGGCCATGTGTTAAAACGGGGTGCTGCAGAGCGCAGACCGTGTAGAGGCCTTTGAGGGATGTCCCGATAGCTGGACTCCAGCCTAAGTCACATCGCAGCCCCAGATTCCGGAGCTTTCACAACGTAACCCTGTTACAGGTTTGAGCATTCTTAGGCTCACAAGCTATTTTCAGAAAAGAGACCTCCATATTTTTATGCCCCATATTACCTTTGTCTCTACACCATATTTTTTCCCATGCGTTTAAGACACTCAATATTACAGGTGTAGGAAGTGCAGAGCTGGGCCTCTGGATGCAGACGGTGCGCAGGATGGAGATGGGAACACGGCAGGCGCTGACCACAGGCCTCCGATAGCCTTTGCCCTCTGGATGGTTGCAAGGGGTTCTCTCAGCTCTTCTCAGGCAGATGATCAGTTTTCTTGTCTCATCTTAGACCCTGATCTAATCAGTTCAGAGCACAAATCAAAATAAACTGGCCTGAACGACTGAATGTTAGTAGACAAAGTTACATCCTTTTTCATAGGTCAAAGCTTTCTTATTTCCTCAATATGTGGTCCCTACTTTTTCAATAATTGGTTCTCAGCATCTAAAGTAGCAGGTGGGTCAGATCTGGGCAGAGCCTGCTGCTATCGTTAGAATCCTTCTTGTGATCCTTCCTCACCTCCCCTAAAATATTAGGGAACATAATAATGGAGAAAAGACATGGAATTCCTCAGTGGCTGTTGGCTATGAAATTCATCTTCCAGTTAATTGCTGTTTTTTTCAAGTTTCCTATATTTGAAAAGCTTTTCCACTGATGGTGATTTAAATGAGTTTTTGTTGAATTTAGCACTCCTCCCTATGTTTTCCTGTTTGTGGAAAAAATCTGATATTCCAAAAATAGCAATTCCCTGAATTTTAGATTTTTAAAAAGTTTTTAATCTATAGAATTGAAACCCCCCACTCCAAAAAACAAACAAACAAACAAAAAACACCCCTAACCACCAGTTTAGGAAAGATACCACCTTAACCCTGCTGTTCAGAATAGCTACTTCGGAGATGCCTTGGCGGGTCTCAAGGCCGCTGTGCAGTTTGCACAGCTGCTGTTCCTCACGTGATGGTGCAGGAGAGAGGAAGGTCCGGGCTGAGGAATGTGTGTAATATGTTCAGTTCCTAGCATCGATGTACTATTTATAGTCTGTGGCAAATATTACTTGCAAATGGGATAAAATTCTTATGGTTATTTTTGTACTTCAAAATAATTATTCTACTGTAATATATTCAAATTAAAGTTTATTATCTGGTTCTTACTACGATATTCTGTGAGTGCAGTGAGTGCGAGCCCTGGGTATGTCATGTGCTTTCTCCCCTTTCTTTTCTGACCCCAGAGTGAAGGGAAAAAAGTCAACAAAGTTCAGGGCTTCACATATTACTCTTTTTAAGAGAGGAAAGTAGATATTCCCTAGGAATCCCTGTCCATTAATGCTCATGGGTCCTGCTAAAGCGTATTAGGTTTGGCTCTTTGCTGAGCTACAGCCCCATCCCAGAAATTGTGTGACCAGTGCATACTAACCACCTCACACATAGAAATTTCTCAAATACTTGTTGACCAAATAATTAAGCCTATCGTATGTGGTAGAGCAGGGGACGCATAAGACCTGGCCTCATACATTCTGGTCCCCATCCAGCTGTCGTTTGATCGTGTGCTGAGCATACACCAGCCCTAGGTGCTTGGGATGCAGAGATGATGCCGAGTCCTGATCCTTAGGGAGCCCAGTCCATGGGCACACAAGCAAGATACAGATGATGTATTGTAGAATTGTACACTTGAAACCTATAGAATTTTATTATCCAATGTCACCCCAATGCATTTTTTTTTTTTAAAAAGCAGCTCAGTCTAACAGTCTATACAAGTAAACACAGTAAGATGTGGCTGATGTTGTCAGTGGGAACAAAGTTTTGAAAGGTAAAAGAAGGCAACGGGAGTGATTGTATCCCTGTAAATGGGACCCCTCCTGCCTCACTTGGGAGCAGTCAGGATGGATCCTGAAACGCAACAGCATGCGAGACGCCCAGGCTTCTGCCATGCGTACAACACATGCGACGTGTATCCAAATGAACAGAAACCAAAAGGCTGCTTTCCTCTTTTATGGCTTGGCATGTTGAAAAAGTTGCAAGCAGGTGGGTGGTATATTTCATTCGTTTTATCTACTTTACAATGGCAAAAATGAATTAGTTAGTTACGAGTTTCTCTAGTTAGGATTGTCTCGATCTGACTTACATAAATAGTCCTCTTTCTCTTCTTCATACCATAAATACTTCTAAGGCTTATATGTATTTTAGGATTCTGTTCAAATTGTATGTGGCCTGTTTAGGGACGCCCTCAGAGGGGCAGAGCTAGAGACCTGGTGACGTGCCTAAAACCCACCCCGACTCTGGACTGCGGGAGTATGTGAAGAATATAAGACAGGCTACAACAAAACGCTAGTGAACGCAATCAGCTGATGTGTGTGTATGAGTGGGGAGTCTATAGACAAGTTTGCACTTTTCTGCAATCAAACCCTTTCTTTAAATAAAATCTGAATGACAAATACAACTAGAAGCTGCCCTTCATAGGGCGACACAAGTTACAAACCCCAGACACAGGGAATAAGTGCCTTGCTAGGTGAACCGCAGGTGGGAGGACAATGGGTCAGGCTTGAGCATGCATAGCATAACCTGTGGATATGTTTCCTCTAAGTTGATTCATCATATTTTTTGTGTATTTATTCCTGTGTTCATGTATATATTTGGTGAGCTACCTCCATCCAACTGCGTTCCAGAAGACTTTTGAGATAATTTTTTAAAACATGAACAGACAAAAGGCCTTTCAGAGTAAGGGAAGCCAAGAGTCAAGTTCACACACAAACGAACATACCAGAATTACTAAAGACAGACCAGAGATTCACCTTCAGGCTTCTTACCAATGAAAGCAGAGTGTGAAACACAACCAGGCAGAAAATTCAGTCTGTGTATGTGAATGAGGGCCCGAAGGGGAAGAAAAACCTGGATTCTCAGTGATCTCTGATTATTCCTGGGTTTCGAAGTTGGATTTTCTGCACTATAGCTTAGATGTAACTACATGCTTAACAAAAATTTCAGGGGAGTCTTACTGCCCTCTAAACAAGTACAGGTCTTTCCTACTATGCACAGTTAAATAATTAAATGAGCCCATTTACTTCTAATTTCCTCTATAAACATATAATTAAACTCTCCATCAGTTTTTGACTCAAGACTAGTTATTAATATGGTGGAGCTGAGACAAGTCACTCAAGTTTTAAAAATTACAGGTATGCGTTAGGATGAAACTATAGGTAATAGGGTCCTAAAGAATAATTGCAAGGCACTGTAGAAGCAATGAAATGATGGAGTGGTAGAGCTTATACATTTTTTTTTTAAACCAAGCTCTGGTTAGTTTTATCACAAAGAAATTTTCATTGGTTAACTTTTCGCCCGTCTGTTCTGGCTTCTGATATCACCGGGGTCCATGACAGCCAGCGTGCACACTCTGGACCATGCTCCACACGCGGTGCCCAGTTCAGGACCATTGTCCCCGTGGTGGTGGGCCCCCGCTGCGGCCAATGTTACATAACACCCCCCTTCTGATTTCCTCAAGGCGGGACCGTGGCGGGCGAGGAGGACCGGTGTCGCTTCGCCTCACCTGACCGTCTTCAGAGTCTGCTTGTGCCCCAGCACATACTTCTCACTTTTCATAACGACTTGGAGCCTAGAGTTGATCGACTCTGGTGACTTTTTCAACTTCTTTGCGGCCGCCATCTTCCTGACTTAGGTACAGGATGGTCCCCAACCAAGAGCAGCCACCAAGATGACCAGGGTTAAACAGAAAAGGCTAAATGGGGGAAGTGAATGGAAAACTGAAACTTGATGTATAGAATTGAACTAGGTAGAGAGAATAAGCAGACATCAGATGCTGAGAACAGCATAAATGAGGCCATAAATAATATTTAGATACATTTAACCTTAACTTTAATTGTTCTTATTCTTTATTTTCATACGGAAGTTAATCTATTCTTTGAACACCAGGAAGGCTTTATTTGTAAACTTGCAGTTTCAAACTGTGACCCAGAAATTTCCCTCCTTGGTATGTATCCAAGAAATCCTCCCCCCTAACTCTATAGACGCACACCAGAGGGTATGTACAGGAAAGACCTGGATACGGCCAACATGCCCACTGAGAGTGGAGTCCAGAAATAAACTGTGGTGACATCAGAATGGCATATTACACAAAATAAATGACCTACACTTGAGCAACAACTTGAATGAAACTCAGCCATGTATTACACCAATAACTTTTTGTAAGTTAAAGACAACTCAAACATAAATATACAATCAAGAGGGAAGCAGGAGAATGACGATCAAAGAAATCAGGCTGGTAGTTACCAGGAATGCGGTAGGAAGGGCTGGGGTGGAGGAGACAACACAGACTCAACCAGAAATTGATCCAGCACAGTGGGGAGGATGGGGGGTGGGCACAAAGCGTTCCTGTTGAGGGGGTAGGGTGAGAAAAAGCTAAATATTCATATTTCATTGCCCTCTATTCGATGAAAAAACATCTACATTTTAGTTCTGAGAAGCAGAGGAGGCTGAGCAAGCCAAAAAATCACAGAGGGAAGCCGTATTCGCGGGAAGCACTTTGTCCTGTAGCACAGAAGACACCGTGGGGAACAGCCCCACAGCCGCTAATCAAAGGAGGCGGAGAAGAGGAATGCAAACCT